CCCCTTTCACCAGATCCATCTGGAAAAGAGGGAAACTATTCAGTAGGGATTCTACCTTACCCCCTTCATTCTGAAACTAAGCACGCTCATGAAAGCTTATAAGCCAGCCACTTCATGTCTTTATCACCCCCCACTTTTAATGTCTGATATCTAAATTCCTTGTACACTGAGGAAACAATCTTATTCCTTGTTATGAAGAAGACTTCCATTCCGGTTGGGATTTTGAGCAACTGTATCCATAAACAAAAGTTCAGGTCATCAAAATGTAGCAATTTACACTTGTTCTCAGTAGCATCCATCTTCATCTGGTTGAGTTCTGGTCAGCTAGCCATCCACGATAAGTCAAATGGGAACTAGCTGCAAGTTTGGGAGCTTACACACACCTCCCTGCATTTCAAACCAACAACAACAACTAGTAAGGTACGCACACCTTAGAATAATCAACCATTTGAGGTTAAAAGGGCATCGTTTATTTCAGGGCAAAGTTCAGAAGAGTTAGGAAAGAAGGTGAAATGGAAACAGAAAATCCAGGGAGGAAGTGGGATAAGTGATGATACATTGAGGGAATTGCAGTCAGTGAGATGAAACAAAATGTGTCTGAATTATCAAATGTAAAACTGATGATCCGTTCTGTAAACCACACAATTCATACACACACAAAAATAACTGATGGTATTGAAGGAAGAAATACAAGCTACACTGAAGGCATTGGTAAAACAAACAAACAAACAAGGCCCTAGGCATTTATGGAAAACCAATTGAAATGTTTCAATAAACTGATGAAGCGCTGGAAGCACTCATTTGTCTATGCCAAGAAATTTGGAAGACAGCTACTGATCAATCGATTGGAAGAGACCCATATTTGTGCCTCTTACAAAAAAAGGTGACCCAACAGAATGCCGATATTATCGAACACGGTCATTAATATCATACACAAGTAAAATTTTGTGGAAGATTATTCAAAAAGGGTTGCAGCCATATATTGACAGGGAGCTGCCAAAATTCAAGCTGGAACAAGGAATATTGCTGACATCAGATAGATCTTTGATAAAATGAATACCCGAAAAATGTTTATCTGTTGTTTATTGACTACACAAAGATATTCAACTGTGAGGATATAGCATACATTATGGGTAAAATTGTGAAGAATAGGAATTCCAGAACACTTGTGCCCATGAGGAACTTGTACATAGACCAAGAGCAGGGGATGCTGAATAGCTTAAAATCAGGAAAGATGTGTGCCAGCATTGTATCTTCTTGTCATATCTATTCAATTTTTATGCTGAGCAAATAATCTGAGAAGCTGGAATATTGCATCAGGATTGGAGGAAAACTTATTAACAAGTTGTGATATGCAAATGACACAACCTTGCTGAAACTGAAGAGGACTTGAAGCATTTGCTGATGAAGATCAAAGACTACAGCCTTCAATATGGATTACAACTCAATGTAAAGAAAAAAAAAAGTCCAATAATTAACATCATGATAAATGGAGACATTATTGAAGTGACTAAGGATATCACTTTACTTGGATCCACAAGTGAAAGGGAAGCAGCAGTCAAGAAATCAAATGGCATACTGCAGTGGGAAAATATACTGCAAAAGACCTCTTCAACGTGTTAAAGAGCAAAATTTGAGGACTAAGGTGCACCTGACTCAAGGCATAGAATTATTAATAACTTCACTTGCTTGTGAAATCTGGATGATGAATAAAGAAGATTGGAGAAGAATTGATGGCTTTGAATTACAGTGTTGTTGAAGAATATTGAAATTACCATGGACTGTCACAAGAACAAACAAATGTCTTGGAAGAAGTAAATTCAGTATGCTCTTTAGAAGTGAGGATGGTAAGAATTTGTCTCATGTACTTTGTACATGGTGTAAGAAGAAATCAGTCCCTGAAAAAGGACAGCATGGTTGGTAGTTGGTCAGTGAAAAAGAGGCATACCCTCAATGAGATAGACTAACATGGTGTCCGCAACAATGCGCTCAAACACAATAACAATTGAGAATGATGCAGAACCAGTGCTTTGTCAGTTGCAAATAGGGACACTATGAGTTAAAATTGACTAGAGGTCAATGTTCCCTCCCCTCTGTTCCTTCCTCCAACAGAGAACCAATTTTATTAGCTTCCTTCCATTGTTTTCTTTAAAACAACAACAACAACAACAACAAAACCCTAAGAAAATATGTACATATTGTTGTTGTTAAGTGCTGTCCAGTCAATTCTGACCCATAGCAACCCTGTATAGGGTTTCCGAGGAGCAGCTGGTGAGTTTGAATCACCAACTTTGCAATTCAAATGGCTTTGCAGTCTGGTGCATTAACCCACAGTGCCACCGCAGGACTCCATGTACATATAGGAATGTACTTTTATATTTTAATAGGTTGTGAACATTTTCATTGGAGAAGAGATTATTAAATTTTTAATTTCTTACTGCATGTATCTAGGGCCAGGCATATTTGTTCTTGGGTGCCATTGAGCCGGTACTGACTCATAGCGACCTTATGCACTGCAGAACAAAACACTGTCC